GAATTTTTGAATTTTTGAATTTCTGAATTTCTGAATTTCTGAATTTCTGAATTTCTGAATTTCTGAATTTCTGAATTTCTGAATTTCTGAATTTCTGAATTTCTGAATTTCCGTATTTCTGAATTTCTGAATTTCTGAATCTCTGAATTTCTGAATTTCTGAATTTCTGAATTTCTGAATTTCTGAATTTCTGAATTTCTGCATTTTCGAATTTCTTGTGGCCGATTTTCAGTACCAATGGAAAAATGGACGATCTATCAAAGTGGTTTGAAAGAATCCACATGGATGTAATTGGACCATTCATGGAAACAAAGAACGCGTTTCCGAAATTCGCAGTGGCGAAAGCCAGTAAGGACCAGACTAGCGACACCTGATTGAAAAAAAAAACCACATGTTCAAAGCGAAGCAAAACCTTAGCCACAGAAAATCCAGTTTGGGTATTCGGCATGATCGAACGTCACCCAAAAAAGTGAGAGTTTCCCGACCATCAGTTCCAAAAAAGATTTTTGAAAAACTTTTTTTTTCATTCGGTAAATTTTTCAGGTTCTGTGTTTCGTGTTAAGGGAGGAGTTGGTTCCAATTCCAATCCAGCTTATCAGGAAGGATTTTTGAAACATCTAGCATGCAGTCATTTGCTTTGTCTTTGATGCTACTTTCTGATCTACCCAATCGTTTTAAAGATACATTTCTGATTTACTTGGATTTTTATAGAAATAAAGTTTTTTATGAAACAAATGTTTTTTTGATTGGTTCACATGGAATTCACGAGTTCAGAAATACAGGAATTCAGAAACTCAGGATTTTAAAAATTCGAGAACATTGGAAAACATTTCTTAGAAATACAAAAATCTAACAAATTAAAGAATTTCGATTTTTCGAAAATTTCGAAAACTTCTCAATATTCGTTTTTGCACTTAAGGATCTTGAAATTTGCAAAATTTAAAAACAAAAATTTTTTTTTTAATTTTGAGAAAAGTGTTTGAAATATAAAAAAGGGATTGAAATTTCGCAAACTATCCGAAGATATTTTTTCCAATTTTTCGAAAATTTCTTTCATTTTTCGCCGATTTCCAATAGGTATTCCAGTATTAGATAAATCCCAAAATTTTCGATTTTGTGTGCTGAAAATTGTTTCTATACTATTTCACAGGGCGTTTTCTGTTTTCTGTCTTACTGATAAGAGCTCTAAACCGTTATTTGCATCATTATTCTTTCTTTTCTCTCTATTCCCTCTCACTTTCCTTAACTTTTGAATTCAAGTTCCTCTATTCATTTTAGTTGTTTCTATTTTTTGCTAGGCCGGCCTCGCAAATATGACTACGGTAAGCAAGTCGCATATTGTACGACAAGTTGCGTTTTATTTTTTAATTTTTTGTTTTTTCTCGCTCTTTTTCAGCAAACCACGAATTTTTTGAGAGTTTTCTCGATTTTTCGATATTTAGAGCATTTAAAAAAAGGAGGAAGTCAAGAAATCTTTTATTCAACACTGAGATAACAGGGGAGAGAAAATGACAACAAATTCAAGAAAATTAACAAGAAAAGCTTGTGTTCATGCATCAAAATCTTCAAGTCTCGCCTGTGTCGAATCGATCTTTTTCTTTGAGAATCATCAACTTTTCCAGCATTTTTAAGTCCAGGCTCTGACGAAACTGCAATCATATGCTACTTACAAACCAAAGTCACCCAAAAGTTTAAAACTTGGGGTAATATGGTATGCTAGAGCTCTTTTTAAACAATTATTTTAAAAAAAACCATTCTCACTTCTTTTCGTTCAAATACGTCATGAAATCAAATCAATTTTATTCTTATCAGTGTTGAAATTTCCCGTTTTCCTTGCTAACTCTTAAATTGTTTGTCTCTTCTCTTTTCAATTTTCTTTTTTTTTTCAATTTCAAAAGACCTCATTTTCATCTTATCAATTCAAGAATTATCAGAAAACTGGGCACTAAAAACTTTTAGTTTAAAAAAGAAGCTTGGAACCTTCAAAATCAGAAATGAAGCTCAAAAATGAACAAAACTGCAATCATATGCTACTTACAAACCAAAGTCACCCAAAAGTTTAAAACTTGGGGTAATATGGTATGCTAGAAGGCTTTTTAAACAATTATTTTAAAAAAACCATTCTCACTTC